ACCGTCATCATTGTTAGGCAATCTCCTCATTTCTGTTTTGCCAGAAGCTATTGACCACTCATCGGCAGTAGTTTCATAATCATAGCATTGCGCTGATCATCTAAACCCGGCCTCTACTTTGCACCTCAACAACCATTTGACCTTAATTTCCGTTTCATTTAGCTGCCTTAATTAAGTTGAATCATATTTGGCTGCTTCCTCAGAGCACGGCCCTCCAGTTGCTTTTAAATGATCCTTTTTTTTCTTGTCCACCCACTGACAGAGTGCTGTTAATTTCTCCGTAATTGGTAAGATCTTGTTGATGGTAGGTTCATAGAAAGATGTGGTCAGAGGGTTAATGTGAGCGTTAATGTGACGAGGCGATTGTTCCGTAGCTCGGTGTACGTGGCGTAGCAACAAAAGCGTTAATGGCTCTTTTTACAGGCGCCTGGACAATAGCGGCGTGCGTATGGCTGATATTTACTGTGGAGAGCACTTTGACCCCAACGGCTGGGTCTTATGGAGGGGAAGTCTGCACTGTGGATAACATGAAGACATAATTATGGGATGCCTAGAATTGTAATCATACTCTTGTGTGAAGCAAATCTTCCATCGTTCTGTCAAGATTTTTGTCATCCTTTTTTCTCTTTCTTGAACGCAATGTGTCTTTTTATGGTCAATACTTAGCCATGATGTGTGTCACAGTTCAAACTTGCCCTAACCTTTTTCATGGTATGGAACTGTAAGTAAGTCTGTAATCTTTATATATATATATAGCACATTTTACAGACCAAGGTCACCCAAAGCACTTTACCATGTTGAGAATTCAGATATTTTTCTATTCGGTGATGATGGAAGAGAAGCGCCGCAAACTTCATCCGATGAAGTTTGCTGCTATGACCATTAAAAAAAATTACTTACACGTTACTTATGGACAGTGTGTAATATTTTCATACACACAGTCTGGATTGTAATTGTAATGACTTTATTAGACTACTAAGAGTTCAATATCCATACTTTCCCCTTGGAAAGTATGGATATTGTGTGTCTGTTTTAGTTATTTTTGTTTTTGGTTTAGTAATTAGTTATAGTTACTAACTTTGGTTAGTGTGGAGGAGATCGGCCAGTGTCACAGTTACATCGGTTGAATCCCGTCCGACCAATCAGTGAGCGCGGGAGGCGGGTGTTGAAGGTAGGTGATGGTGACGTGAAGAGTTTGCGGCGAATCAGCTGGTTGGAGTTTGGCAATGTCAGAGAATGCGAAAGATTCCTAATATCAAGAAATTGAAGCAGGAACAAGAGGAATGTTTCAAAAATGTCATTGCTGGTAAAGATGTTGTGGCTCTACTCCCCACAGGCTCCGAAAGTGGCAAAGGAGATGGCTAAAGCTAGGCTAAATGCAAAATGCTAGAGACACACTCGGGTGCATTACATATGTCACGGTAAACTCAGATCCAAACGTTTCAAGCTGCAAAAGGAGTTAACCCCTCCTACCTGTTAACGGAGCTCAATTAAGCAAATCTAGACCGAAGTACAGTATGAAATGAAATGTGTACGATGGTGTGGTAAGACCAGGCTATTGCTGGGGTCTATTAGTTTCAAAGTCCATGGTCCAGATACACAGAGCTGTATATTATTCTTTGTATTGATTAAAAGGCTTCAAAGACTCTGCTAAACTATTTATTATAGTTTTACTCAAATAATAAGCTAAACATATGCTACACTTTCTATGTAATAACAACAATAGATGGTTGAGACTTTTCAGCACACTTACCACGCTTGCTTCTCCAGTGCACCTCTGTGCATGGAGAATCTGATTTGTTTTCCCTTGTACTCTCATCAGTTTAAGAAGTCAGCCATCCGTTACTTTTTTAATCTCCATAATGAAAGTGTTTTAATGCCTCCAATTTATTGCCTGGGCAGCCAACAGGATAATTAGCTTTGTTCAGGTTTTCCAAAAGACTAAAACACCAGTAGAACAACAGTAGAAGCCACAGAATATAATTGAATGCATTGCTTATTGTACCTCAAGCTATATCGGACCAGTTGAATTTAAGATTTCAATTAATCAAAGCGTTGTAATTTTCCTTGTACCGGATTGAATTAAAATATTTACACATTTGCGCTCTTTTCCGGCTTCCTTCAACCAGAGTCTAAACAAAGAGGTTTCTAGTGTGTATTGATTGGCTGTGACCTGTAGTCGATGGCACACACTAAATCAGATAATTGAAATGTCTGTCGAGCTAATTGGATTATGGCTTTTCCCCTGAAGAGATGGCCCGCGCCTCACGGTGAGATTGCTACATTAGTGTCCGACATCTGTCATCTGGACGTGCCTGTACGGGACAGGACGCTCCGCACAAGGGGAGAGAACGGACGGGGAGGAGGAGCGAGATGTTATTATAATGCTTGATGATGTATTTAATTAAACTGTGGAGTTGTTAAATCTTCCAGTTATTGTGGGGAGAAAATAGCTGAGAGAAGTTTTTGAAGTTGTTATTAGTCACTCATTTAGAAGTTGTATTCATACACGAAGGAGAAGAGAGGCCCCTCTGATCCCTGCACTATCACAGACTTTTAAAATCTAGGCTTGTTTTTGATAGTAATGCAGTGGCGTATTACTTTAATTCTTTTTATAGATTATAGAATGTATAATTTGGTCTCATTTTGATTGATTTATGTAAAAATACTATGGCCACTGTTTTCATTTACTATGCTAACTGTATCTGCGGTGGTGCGGGGCAGATATTGTGAGTGGACTTGTTTCTTTCTTTCTCAATATTGTTTAGAATCAATATCGAGATTTTAAATGTACCTGATTTTAATGTATGTATTGATATAACACTAAGGCACAGGTGTCATAGATTATCACTGCATGAAATACAGATTATACAATGAACCACAAAGTTAAATGTAAGGAGATGTTTCATATTTGCTCTGGAATTGTGAGTCTTTTAAAGTAGCTGTAACTTTAGCGCTGACTGTATTTACTGGGTTAGATTTGCTCAAGTAAAATATTTTTTTTATCAACAGAAACAGACAATAGGGTAACAATAATTGGAAAATTGTGATGAAATGATAATGTATACCTGTTAGTTTTATCTTTTAAATTAACAACTTTTGTACAAATGAGAGAAGGTTTTGTCCAAATTGTTTTACATTGTACTGGAAAGAATTCAGTCTGTCAGCTGGAAGATCAAGTGCAATCCCGGTGTGTCCTTATGTATTGATAAGCTCATAATCACAATGGAAAAGTTTTTCGTGGTTTTAACCCTATTCGTACAGATATGAAATCCAGTCAGTTGGAATATATACACAAAAATAATAATCACAAATATATAACGGCATCTTTAAAATATAACAGGCCTATCTTATCTCAAATCATTTCTTTAATAGAATCAATAGAATTATATAAAATGTGTAAAGGCAAACTCGAGAGGGGAGCCATTTCCCTGGTGTCTACTTGCCTGGAGTCCTGCGCACATGGTTTATGCAAATGAGATGACTATTTGCATAGACATAATTAGGTAATTACAAATCATTTGGCTATGAGCTGAAGCATGTGCACAGAGCAGAGAGGTTCCATTGTACAGTAGTGAGAGGAGCGTGTTGAGCATATGTCGTGTCAGACCGCTGCCTTCACAGTGGCAGCTGACATTTTCATTCTTAGTTAACAACGTCTGCTTCGTATGTTGTGTGAGGTTAAAAGTGAAAGAACCAGCTATGTACCACTCCAGCTTTTAAGGCAAGGCTAGTTTATTTGTATAGCATAATTCATACACAAAGCAACTCAAAGTGCTGAACAAAACAAGATGGAGACAGTCACACAAGGCATTCAAATAATAAATAATCACGTTAAAATAAAAAGAGTGAAGATGACATTTTAACCATCCTTCGTTCCAATTTCAATGTGGTATAGCCCTAACTCACAACAGTTGTCCTCTCAGAGGACTTTACAAAGTTGTCGATTCTGTAACAACAGTTTTGATAATCTGGTCCATAGGGCAGCGCGGGGATTGTCCATAAATGTCCATTTTATACTGTTTCTCCCTTTTATATACTCAATGTTGCCGTTTGGACTAGACTGGCTCCTCTTACTACACACACACTGATTTTTATTTAAGTCAAATAACTTGCGTATGGGGCAAAGTGCAGATCTACTGTATATAGCAGGACTAAATATGGTACGTGGATTCAAACCACTGGTGTCATAGATTACCACTATACAGCAGATTATTCCAGATTAGGGCTGTGTTAAACAGTCAATCGCAACTAATTGATTATTTTGTAATCTATAAATAATTCTTTGAACCTAGACTCATGAGATTATTTCTATGATGAAGGTAAACATTGTCTTTATACAGTATTTAAACATCGCTTTGTTTTGTTCAACCGTATCAAAAATCCCATGTTCACTGAACCATCAGGATCTAAATAACTAATCGAAAAACAACAAATGGATTATCAAGATAAACATAAACTGCAGCTTCGTTTCTGATTATCGATAATCGGGATTTTGGCTTTGATTTTCTTTCAGAATCTTTTTGTCTAATTGTTGGAAAGTTACAACATTTTTGGGCATAAAAGTTTCAATCATACGCGTAATTTTTAGATGTGGAAGGAGGTCCGTCGCCTGCTTTTCTCCTTTTAGACACAGATTTGTGGATTTAAAGACTTCCAAAAGGAACAAGGCATTCATTTTAAGACCGATGTAATTTTGGACCTGAATTCAAAGTATAAATTAGATGCTAATATGAAATTATGTCTGACCTGACTCGTGATGATTGAAAATTACAATGGTATTAAAGGCTATTAGAATCCTGCTGGGATAAATTAAAGTGTGTATTTATGTTCGGCACTTTAAATATAGTTTGACAAAATCCTTTCATTGTGGAGTTAATGAGTTCTGAGTGCCTTCAAACTTGTGTCATGGTTTGTAGAGCTGTGCAATTGCAACACAATGTCTACAGACTATTCGCACACTTTCATCATTAACAAAAAGGACCTCTTTTGTTTTTCAGAGCAAGAGGATTCTTTCGAGTTCGTCATTGTGTCGTTGACGGGACAGACGTGGAACTTCGAAGCCTCTACGTACGAAGAAAGAGAATTGTGGGTCCAAGCCATCGAAAGTCAGATCTTCGCCAGTCTTCAGTCGTGTGAAAGCATAAAGAACAAGGTACTGACAAATCCTGTTCTTCAAAATGCTTTACAGACACCCAATAATGTCCCAAACAGAAATATTCGGATTATTATGCCTGTTTTTAATGTGTTTGTTATTGTTTAATTCAAAAGATTAGATAAGTCTGTATTTTTGGTAATTGTGAGACTGGTTTAAATAATCTCCCAAGTGATTTCAGTGGGGAATGTTTTCTACTGCTGCTATACTTGAGCAATAATAAAACTTTAATTAAATAAAAAGATATTAATTCTCTAATGCTACAATGTTGAACGACCAGGTGGCATATTATACACACAGAACCTTTAAAGCTGGATTACCTGCCATCCTAGTAATTTACAACAAATACATTTTTAGTACACTTTTAAGAATTCTATCAACTAATTGCAACTTATAATGTGAAACTAAAATATCGCAGATAAATATCGAGCCTCTATTTATTTATTTATGCCTCACAGCTTGTTGAAACCCCAAATAAAAAACAAAATGTAAGTATTTTGATAATGGAGGAATGAATGTAAGGAATGAATATCAATTACTACATATTGGGTGTGTTGAGTAAATTCTTATTGAAGTAAGACTGTGCGGGAATTATGATTATCATAATGGACTTTAAGCCATAATCATCAACATTATAACAAACAATTCTGAATTTCTCCCACAGCGAATCAATAAAGTATCTATCTATCCATCTACAAAAGGCATCTGTCTCAGTGCAGTGAATTATGTCACCATAAGCTACAGGACAGAAACTATTTAGTCTTGAAAGTTGTTGAAACACTGCCTGAATAAAACCTCATTCATACCACGCAATCAAAGTTAAAGACATTACAAAATATCCAAGTTCATCCACATTATTAGCCCCGCACCTGGATACAGCCTGCCTAGCGTAGCCTGGTAGAACACTTCATTCATTCTTCTCTCCTTCTCGCCTCTGGTTCCCCACTTTCTCCCCTGCTCCAGCTTGTCATGGGAGCTTGTCAGACAGGTGCGGCATGGTGTGGGGGATCTCTTATTAGAACTGACACACATCTGAGATATAACATGGCTCGTGTCAGCACAGAGCAGCCTCATTTTCATATTCATACGCCCCCGCCTCGGCCTCTTTCTCTTCCAAGGGCTTTGAAACACCTCACCGTTCCCATCTGCTTTCAGCACTTTGACTTCCATTTGGAGTTGGGGCTGTAATTGTTTTGCAGTGATTAGTTCCCGCTGACCTGTTCTCTCCCTTTCTCTCTCTCTCTGTGTTACAGTCCCGGTTAGGCAGCCAGAGTGATGCCATGACCATCCAGTCCATACGGAATGTGAGGGGAAACAGCTTCTGCGTGGACTGCGATGCACCCAGTGAGTATTCTCTATGGTATGAGCTGTAGACTCACATGAATGTGTGCGGATATGGACTAAGTGGACCCTGGCTGAAAGATCCCCAATCTCCCAGCCATTGCACAGTTAATCTACACATTGTTTTAAATATTCTATTCAACCAATTCAATTAAATGTATTTTTTGGATAGCCCTAAATCCCAACAGTAGTTATCTCTGAGGACTTTACAAAAGCGTTGATTCGCCAACACAGATCAGAGAATGAAATGGTTCAAACACAAGAAATGCAGTGATAAAAAACACATAGTCATTGGTCCATATAAAGGTGTCCATACATGTTATTGAACCAGGAAAGTTCCTGAGATTTTATCAGGGGAGTCCTGCTGGTCCCAAGAGAGAAGGGGTTGGAGTGTTGTCCGGGATTTTCCTATTGTACATGTTTTAGTGGTAGGGGAAACCGGAGCACCCGGAAGGAAACCTTCAAGGACACAGGGAGAACATGCAAACTCCACACAAAAAGGGGTGGACTCAAACCCTGATCTGTCTTGCTGTGGATCACAAGTGGTTACTTTCACTTTAGGAATAGAAATGGATGAACTTTAGACATTACTTGACCCTATTTTGATCCCAATGATAATAACAAGTCTGTATTCATCAAACAACACTTCTGTACTGAGGTGTTTGCCTTTGAGCTAACCAAAGGCTACATTTGAAGCATTGTAAATTACAATCACACCACAATTTTCATACATTTTTTTGGACTTTGTTTTGCTCAAAGCCAATTTTACTATATAATATAGTATCTTGATTTAGTTCCAATCACTATTTTTCTGTCTATCATTAATTCCATCCTGGCAGCAGTTTTAAGTCACTACAGTGAGGGCTGAGGGTTGAGAGTTAGGGCTCCAGACTATTTTTGACTTCTGTTTAAAGTTGTCTTTCTCCAAGCTCTCACACATCTGCCATCATTTTAAGTTAATACATGAATTCTTCTGCTTGTGTCTCTTCACTTTCAGTCAGTTACAGTGCTCCGGAATAATAAAAAGCATAGTAAATGTAAACTCTCATCTACTCTTTCTCTTCTCTCCCTTTAGATCCAGATTGGGCCAGTTTGAACCTGGGGGCCCTGATGTGCATCGAGTGTTCGGGGATCCACAGGAACCTGGGCACGCACCTGTCCCGTGTGCGCTCCTTGGACCTGGACGACTGGCCGGTGGAGCTCAGCATGGTCATGACGGCCATCGGGAACGCAATGGCCAACAGCGTGTGGGAGGGAGCCTTGGACGGATACAACAAACCAGGAAGTGACAGCACCAGGTGAGAATCCACAAACAGGTGAATTCATCTGAGGCCCACACAGGTATAGAGCAAGAGGACGACTCACGATTCTGCATTTACAACCATTTAGGTACGACGTGTAACTTTTAGTCAACTTTTCTCATAAAAAATCCAAACATTTCGACTTTATAGCCCATAAGCCAATTTTGTGTGCATATCTATATCTATATTTACTCTTACAAATCCCTCGGTACTTACAATGGCAATAACAGATATTCTGATTCTGGATCCTTTGATGGCTTTTAAACCTTAAAGCTGTAGTACCTATATTTGAAACAACATCATGAGTAATATTATAAAAATCTATCGAACTAGTTCTCGTTCTCAAAACAGTTTGGTTCTAGCATTCGTTTTAACTTGCATCTCTTTTTTGTTTGCTTTTTTTTAACTCTGTCTTTATCAACTTTGTCAGCTCCCCATATGTAAAAGATAAAATGTTTACTAATCAGATAATGTCATCATGCTTGATCCGATTTGTTCACAAATGTTACTTAGACAAGAATCTTACTGTTGGACAAATATAATTTACGAAACAAAAAACAAGTTTGGTTCTTTATGTTTAAGCTTTACTTAAAATTCTTACATTTCCCACTGATTTTGTTCACCCCGTCCTATGTTTCCGATACTATGTTCACTCAAATTATTTCTTCCATTATTCCATTGCCCAATGGCTTTCTGCTCTGTTTGGGTTCCAAAGCCATAATTCATGAATGTGGAGCGGTGTGACAGTTTTGCACTCCTCTGACAAATGCCCTGGCCGCCTTCAGATGCATCAAGGCTGTCACTTTACGTGTACGCACTAATCCAGAGCGCTTCACCACTGTCCTTTGTTACTTAAGCTCCAGTAGTTTAAGTTTACCACTTGTTTTAGAAGTTTCTCAAGCTCCTTAGCATTGTCAGAAAACACCAGAAAGTTTCAGTCTGTACTTTTGGAGCCTAATAGGTGGCATTCCATCTTTTTAATATGTATCTCTTAAATTATACACACTGGCGGCTCCCCGGTTTTAACTTACGCTATGAGTCGCTGCTGCTTTTACTTGGAGGTACCCAGATGTGGCAGAAGGATTGTTTATCTCGTGGTGACAGGTGAAACCTAGCGTCCCGCTCTGACTAATGACCTGCTATGTGGCTGTGCAGGTAATTAAGCACACCATTATGGCTGAACCCCACCCCAAGAGCCAGGCCCTCGGGCCCCAAACTGCCCTGTCACATATCCATCAGCGCAGCCCGGGTCATCACTCCGACTGTCAGAGAGAAGCCTGACTCGCGGCTGTCCCTGGTGGCTTCAGCCATCTCCACATCACAGCTTTGTAACTTTGTTAAAAAGTGAAACACTCAGTTGTTGTGACTTGTGCCAGTTTGGCTTCATTCGTCTGTCACTGTCACTGTGCGCCGGGCTGCGGACTGGAACTTTTCAGACTCAGGAGCTATTCCAAAGCGCTTGTGTTAGAAGGTTATCTTTAGACTGTTCTCTTTGGAACTGCTGAAGCTCTGGTTTAGATTCAACACGATTGTTCCTTTTGTCACTACGGGAGTTTCCCAAACCATCCAACTGAGCGCTATCATAAAAGAAACACCTTTTGCACAGATGAACACATGAGTAAAATTCAGTTTTAACTTCCCCCTTTTTATCACTCGTGTTGTTGATGTCGGTCAGATGGTGTGTTGTGTCGGTGAAGAGATATTTCCTGTACACTTTTCTGACCAGTCAAGACTACACATGTTTTACACAACACTTTATTACACAATACTTTATAACAACAGACTGGAATCAAATGTCTATGTGACTTCTTCTCTCTTCTTCTTATTGAAAGTAGGATAAACCAATAACAGAGATATATATACACCATATTTAGAAGAATAAATGGCAATATTGCAAATGTGAGATCTGAATATCTCTAAGGATCTTGACCCAGCATCCAAATCCACATCGCAAAAGAAAAACGTCCTTTTTCCTAAAATGTAGTTCATGTCTTGTCAATCTTTTATGCAGCACTCACAATAAAGATATTAAAGACCTTTTTTGTGACTAGCTGAATTGCGTCCTGTTTCCCAGTGAGCCCAGTTCAGCGCTGAATGATGGCCCAGAGTAATGTATTGAATGTATCTGGTCTAAAGTGATCCTCGCTGGACTTGATGAAACATTATTGATGTTGATTCTCGTTCCTACCACTGTCAGTCCTGTGTCGCCGGTGGCAGGGAGCTTCTTCATCGTCTCAAAATCCGATCTTTATCTCACAGCGGCAGCTCCATTAGCCTCCTCTGTCCAACCATAAATCTCATTTGTGCCATAACTAATCCGTGGTATAGGTGAAATTTCCAGATAATTTTGCCCACTCTATGGCGCTGTTAGACATTTTTATTCACAAAGTCATTTGAATAATATGAAACCAAACTGAATTTTTAGTTTATGTGCACTTCTTACTAACCCTAAGACTGGTGGACATACAGTATATTTATACTCAGTAAAAAGTACAACATTTGACTTGTAGTATTCTGCTCCATTTCAAATACTTAGATGAGCATTTACCCTTAAATTTTTTTTAAAATGTATTAATTTTAAGAATCGCATGTGTTTGTATAGGCTTTAACTGCTGAGAAAATATAACTTTTCATCAAAAAGGTAAACATCAATTAACTTAAACAATTGCATTTTACTTATATTTGGGATTTTGCTTTAAATAAATAACATATATAATATGTTTTAAATTAAATACAATATTGATTTTCACTTTTGATGAATAATATTTACAATACAGGACTTTAATAACAATTTATATTTGATAAATAGCAAGTAAGTAAGTCACAAAGCGCTTTACAATGGTTATTTTTTAGGCAATTGTCCTCTCCCTCCACACAGAGATGGGAGCGGGGTCGCCAGTACAGGAGGCGCATGCCAGACCTATTTTGCATGTTTTAGTGGTAGAGGAAACCGTAGCACCCGGAGGAAACCTACGCAGACACAGGGAAAACATGCAAACTCCACTCAGAAAGGCCCTGTTCCGTCCGGGATTCGAACTCAGAACCTTCGTGCTGAGAAGCGATGGTGCTATCCACTCAACCACTGTGCCGCCAAATGAAATATAAACGCATCAATAGTGTGATGTTGTTCAAATGGGACCAATGACTGCTATGTGTTTGTTATTATTATGGTATTATTTCCTCTGTTCGTATTACTTCATTCTCTGATCTGTGTTGGGGAATCGACAACTTTGTAAAGCCCTTATAGACGACTGCTGTTGTGATTTAGTGCTGCACAAAAATACATATAATTGAATAGATGTATACTGCATCGACCGGCTCTGAAAGATGCCCAGACCTACAGAAAGATCATTCACCTCACAGGGAGGACATTTCAACATTGCAACACACAGCTCTTATACCAATGAGAATAGTTATGTTAGGAATGGCACAAAATAGACATGGGACAAATGCAAGACATATTAAAGACAGAAAAAAGTGGAAATGATAAGTTTAGATTTGACCATAATTGCTTCAAAAGAGTCATAAAAGATCCATAAAGATGAGATATACTTAATAATCTCAGTAAGTAATCTATAAGTATATATATAGTAACCAATATTAGGTAATTGAAAGTATATGCAAATCTGTATAAAAGCATACACTATGATATAAAAAAGTACATTTGTCTGTTAATTGTGTCAGAGAAGTGTCCCCTTTGATGGCAGGCTTTGTGCGGCTCCAGACTCGTGCTAAACACAAGTGACACCTAATCTAAACGACTGAGTAACTACCTGCGCATCAACTCCGCCTCTGATTGAATGTCTCCTGCAAGGCTAGCTCCACATTTTGGAGACATTTTACTTAAACGCATTCATCCACAAGATTGGTTTAGCTTATGATATTCTGCATGGAGAGAAGACAATATCTGGAATTGCCGCATGCCGACGTGGCTGTGATTACAATAATGAGAATAGGCTAAATATCTTTCTGACAGATTTCTTCTTTCCCCCTCTTTGTGCTCTCGCTGTTGTGCGCACCCAGCTTTTAGTTGTTCTTTTAATTATCACCTAGCCGTCGTCGTGTTTAGCGCACCAGCCCTAATTGGTTGGCGTAACCCTGTAAATAAACAAAGGCAAACTGAAGGTGAAAATGTGGCGATTTATTGCTGGGGGGAAAAAGCCACAGGGTTCAGCACAATATGGCAACTATATCATATGTATATTTTATTTAATTTTGTGTTTTGTATTTGGGATATTTAGTATTAGAATCTAATTATCTAATCTCTATCTTTCTATCGCTGAAATAATGGGTTTTAGGAATTATGGTTCTAGGATAATTGTTGCAATGCATACTTTGCGAATGGTTGGTTGAATGGTTAATAAAGTAGATTGTCAAAGATAATAATGAATTATATAAAAGATTAACTTTATTACTACTGTCTTGTATTCCTTGTTTGTTAGTTGATGTAGTGGTTTTAAAAAGAGAACTCAAAAAGTGACTGGTTTTTACATTTAAGGACAAAATAGTTTTATAGGTCATCCGGATCACTGTCTGCATTTATTATTTATTTATTTTTAAGGATTGAAACTAGCTCTTGGTGGATGTCTGTGCTCTATAAGTGTTCTTCTAACAACAACTTCTAACTCACTTCTAATTAATGAAGATTTCCGCATTCAGATGTAATGTTGTTTCCTGCCAAATCAATCTTCAATTAAATCTATCAGCATCTCAGGTTCTGTTTATTTATTTAAACCTGTGTGAGTGCATGTTACAGCACACTGATGTAAACAGGAGCCTATACGCATTCATAGCTATTTAAAAAGTCGACACAGTTACTTTTCTCTGTATATATTGTATGTGCTCTTACTACCGTCCTGTATGTGCGCTGCAACACTGAAATTTCCCTATACTGTCGGTCAAAAAAGTTTCTCTTCTCTTGTCTTATTTAAGAAATGTTGACATGTAGATGGTGGGAAATGGTCTCTAAAACGCAGAGCAGAGGTGCTGATGGAAGC